TCAGATTCTCCAGCATCTGCAGTTCCTACTATCTCTGATACAGTTTTCACTGGTGGAATTGTTCTTCAAGCAGTAGGCTGATTATTGCATTCTTTCTATTCCTATGGTTTTAGAACTTAATGCAGTGTATATATTTTAATTTGTCTTGATACAAATAGACCCTTTAATAGGTTTAATAGACCCCATAGTGGCAACGGTTTAATGTTTATGTATTTGTCAATAAATGGTCAGAGCAGTTGCAGTTAAATGTGGCTATACTTGAAAGTTCAAAAGCGAGCAACTTACATGAGATGGAGACCTGAATATGAAACAATGTTCCTAGAATTATAAAAGGGGGCACTTTATTTTGCTGTCTGTTCCAGTTAAGAAAATAAAGTGAAATTTTATGTCAAAAAACAACATTGGAGAAACTCAGCAAGTCTGGTGGCATCTTTGGACAGAGAAACTGAGTTAACGTTTCAAGACTGGTACACCAAGATATGATGGTGAGTTAATGGATTCACTCCAAAAAAACAAAAAAGGGTCTTAAGAATACTAGCCACGTGGGCAGCAGAAACACAATATCAACTGTGTGTAACTGGCCTCTCCAATTCATTAAAAAAAAAAATTCAGTTTCTTTCTTGAGACATGTTTCAAATCTTCTTCCTACAGATCTGTGGGCAAGACAACAAACAACAATATAGAAATCTCAGCAAAGCCACCTGTGTTGCATTCACAAACCCTTGTAAGCTCTCGTTCATTTACAACATAAACACTGTGCATGTTTATATTACTGAACAAAAAAAACAGTTGGAAGGAACAAAAGGAAACAAATAGCACAGCTCCAAAAGAAAACTCTAGCAGTCTCAATGCATTTCAAGCTACCAAGGTTTGACTCTTCAAGCAATGAACAATTAATGGAGTAGTGAAAATTTCTTAAAATTACTTCAAGAAAATTTTGCGAGATAAATCTGCAGGTTTTATTCTTTTTATAGAAGTTAAACACATTTGAAAAACCTACAATAACACCTTTAACTTCATGGCCACAGACATAACAGGTGGCCAATATTAAAAAGAAAGGACCTTTCATTCGCATCTTTGCTACCACTGGGAAAACTACTGCTTGATATGGGGTTACACACTTGTGAAAACATTAAAATTGCAGGGCAGACTGAAAAGTAGAAAAATATTTAAGACATTTAATACAGGACCTCAAAATTAGGAAAGAAGCAATAGTAAATAGACAGTAGGACAGAGATGCTTGTCCACATATCCCTGAAAATGGTAGAACAGGTTAATAGGGTGGTTAAGGCAGCATATATGTGATGCTTACTGTTATCAGTTATGGCATAGATTATAAAGGTCATACAATGATTAACCATCTTAAGTAACAACTCTGGAACAACATTGTAGTATAGAGGCACAGATTCAGATGTACAGCATGGCAACAGAGCCCTTGGTCCAACTCATCCATACTGACCAGATATCCTAAATTAATCTAGTCCCATTTGCCAGCATTTGGCCGATATCCCTTTAAACCCTTCTTATTCATAAACCCATTCAGATGTCTTTTAAATGTTGCATTGTACCAGCCTCCATCAGCTCCTCTGGCAGCTCATTCCATACACGCACCAGCCCCCTGTGAAAAAGTTGCTCCTTAAGTCCCTTTTATATCCTTCCCCTTGCACCTTAAACCTATGCCCTCTAGTTTTGGACTCCCGCACCCCAGGTAAAAGACCTTGTCTATTCATCCTACCCATACCCCTCATGATTTTATAAACTTCTTTGAGGTCACCCCTCAGCCTCTGACACTCCAGGGAAAATAGCCCCAGCCTATTCAGTCTCTCTCTATAGCTCAAACCCTCCAACCCTGGCAACATCCTTGTAAATCTTCTCTGAACCCTTTCAAGTTTCAGAACATCCTTCCTACAGAAGGGAGGTCAACTCAAATCAAAAAGTTGCAAGAAAGAGATAGAATCATACAGTACAGAAAAAGTCCTTTGGCCCATTGAGCAGTTTTTGTCAGTCTACACTACTCAATCTACACTAGCCCCACTTTCCAACACCAGGCCCATAAGCTTTGGATGGGCACTTGAAATGTCGTGACATTCAAGTACTTTTTAAAGGTTGTGAGGTTTCCTGCCTAACTACTCTCTCAGGCAGTACAACCCAGATTCCCACCATCCTTTTGGAAAAACATTTTATTCACCTTGAATCCCCTCTAAATCTTTTGCTTTTCAAAATATGGCCTGTTGTTATGGATTCCTTCATCTAAGGGGAACAGCTGCTTCAATCCAGTGCGTCCCAGCCCCTCATAATCTTATACACCTCAAACAGATCACCCCCAACAAGATTCTCATCCAAGCTTATCCAGCCTCCGTTCATAGCTAAACTGCTCCATCCTGGGCAATATCCTGGTGAATCTCTTCTCCACCCACAAGTGCAATCACTACCTTCCAACAGTGCCATGAAGTAATACATGCAATATTCCTGTTGTGGCCTAATCAAAGCCCTGTACAGTCAAACACAACTTACTTGCTCTTGTAACAACTGATAAAAAGACAAGTGTCCCATATGCCTTCTTAACTACTCTATTAACCTGTGGCTGCCTTCAGAGATCTATGAACAAGCACCTCATACAAAAAGATATTCAAAAATAAATGGAGTAGTCCCAGCCCATTTTTAATCTCCATTTTGCATTTTTAAAAATCAGATTAGCAAAGTTATTCCAAATAAACATACAGCAAAATTGTTAACAATTCAGGTTGACCTGAAGATGTAACCTGATCTTGCTTCCACCTAATCTGACAAGATTATCCCATGTATAATTTGGTGTTTTCAGATCTGAATTCATATGGTTTTCCTACATGTAAATATATCTGTTGGCTAGAGTCAGAGTCATGTAATTTAATATTGTCACGTACGTAAAATTACTGGATATTGCATGGAAAGAGGCCAGAACGTTTTATTCCCTTCAGAGTCATTAGTAATATCATGGGCATACACATGTGCAGTATGAAACTACTGGAATTAATCTAGTGATACAAATATGCACCTGTGACTGAATGACTATTTGCAAATAAGGAATAGAGGTACAGCAAATTTAACAATCACACATTGACTTTTCAGATTTAATAGCTATTCCAAATTATTATTACTTAATACAGTCTAAGTATTCACATTCAGAAAGTAAGCATTTTTTTGTACTACACTTTACTGCACTTGCTAGTAGGTTGTAAGAGTGGTGAAAGGCATGATCACAACCACGGCTTCAAAGACAGATGAAGAAAAACTTCACAACAGCATAAGCTGTATGAAACACTGATCAAAACAGAAAATTTTATTGCCTCAAAAATATTTAATGCAGCATCACTGACTGGTCTATAAACAAGCTTGTGCCAGCTGGTGAAAGCTCCGAGCCAGTTGCTTTACCAAGGGAGGAAGGATGAAGAGAAAAAGAGGACCAAGCAGTATAAATAGTAACTGCAGCCCAGAGCAAGCAGAAAAAGGGAGTGGTTGGGGGTATTCAAAGATGGAGGACAGAGTTCATAGGCACTTAATAGCCTTCGGGTTAACTGGAAAAAAACGTTGCTGTTCCTCCAGCTTGCTAGGACAGAAATGCTGGTGTGCTAAGTGAGGCAGTGTGTTGAAAAGGCAAGTAATGGAAGGAGCATTCTTGCAGTCAGAATGGAGACCTCTGCAAAGCAGTCGTCCAGTTTTACAAGGTGTCTTGATAAGGTAATTAACATTAGGCTAACTAAGATAAGGGCTCATGGTGTTTGAGGTGGTATATAAGAACTTAAGAACTAGGAACAGGAGTAGGCCATCTGGCCCTTTGAGCCTGCTCCGCCATTCAATAAGATCATGGTTGATCTTTTCATGGCCTCAGCTCCACTTACCGACTCTTTCACCATAACCTTAATTCCTTTACTGTTCACAAGATTATCTTGGTTTTAAAACCATTCAATGAGGAAGCCTCAACTACTTCAGTGGGCAGGGAATTCCACAGATCCAGAACCCTTTGTGTGAAGAAGTTCCTCCTCAATTTGGTTCTAAATCTCCTCCCCCTAATTTTGAGGCTATGCCCTCTTATTCTAGTTTCACCCGCCAGTGGAAACATCCTCCCTGCTTCTATCCTATCTATTCCTTTCGTTATTTTATGTTTCGATAAGATCCCCCCCTCATTCTTCTAAATTTCAATAATTTAGAAGTCTACTCAGTCTCTCCTCATAAGCCAACCTGCTCAACTCCAGAATCAACCTAGTAAATCCCCTCTGCACCGCCTCCAGTGCCAGTACATCCTTTCTCAATTAAGGAGACCAGAATTGAACACAGTACTCCAGGTGTGGCCTCACCAGCACCTTGTACAGCTGTAACATAACCTCCCTGCTTTTAAACTCCAACCATCTAGCAACGAAGGACAAAATTCCATTTGCCTTCTTAATTACCCGCTGCACCTGCAAACCAACCTTCTGCGATTCATGCACAAGTATATTAGCACGGACAGACAACTGGCCAACTAATCGAAGACAGAGGGTTAGGACAAGGTGGATATTTTAAAGCTAGCAAATCGGTAACTAATGGATGAATACTGGGGCCACAATAAATTATTATGACAGCGTGGTGGCCCAGTGGTTAGCACTGCTGCATCACAGCACCAGGGACCCGGGTTCGATTCCATCCTCGGGTGACTGTCTGTGTGGAGTTTGCACAATCTCCCTGTGTCTGCGTGGGTTTCCTCTGGGTGCTCCGGTTTCCTCCCAAAGTCCAAAGATGTGCAGGTTAGGTGGATTGGCCATGCTAAATTGTCCATAGTGTTCAGGGATATGTAGATTAGATGGGTTATGAGGGATGGGTCTAGGTGGGATGCTCTGAGGGGCGGTGTGGACTTGAGGCCTGTTTCCACACTGTAGGGATTCTATCTTCTATTCTAATCAATCTGTTCAGAGATGTTATTACACACTTCTGGAGCAGGTGGGACTTGGACCCAGGCCTCAGTCCAGGGTAGGGATACCACCACTGCACCACAAGGAGGCCCCATCACACTTTTTTTTTGGGGTGGGAGCGTGGTGAGAAAGGTGGGGAGACAGGAGACAGAGGGAAGAGAGATTTCTGGTGCTGGTTTACCCTGAAGGTAAACTCACATCAGGCGAGGGAACAGACAGTCCTTCATGGTAACCTCACAAAATTAATCCACGTCACTGGCATAACAAAAATGCCATCCAACCAATTGAGCCAAGCCACTCCCCCAGTACTGATCCGGTTAAAGCAAGGCACGTTCAATGCAGAAGATATCACGTAAAACCAGGGACAAAGTGAGAGTGAATCTACTGCATTTAAACGTTAAAGAACACAAAACAAAGGCAAAAACCCTTTCTTGCAGTAACAGACTTTTAAAATAATTTTGTATCATATTGTTAGGGTCCTCCAATACTTCATTCTTTAAAGGGCTCATTACTGGTTGTATATATTTTACTCATTCCTTGGTTTTAAGTAAAATACATTTGTTTTGATGGGAGTAGATGAAAGACAGGCATTACAGTAACTAGTTTCTGGAAAAAGTTCCAAAGAGATATTTGATAATTAACATGAAAACAGCTATCCAGTTTAAACAACATATTTTCAGCACTTTTCCTGTGTATTTTTCATCTGTCCACCTGACAAAGAACAAACAAAACTTACAGAATAAGTCAATAATTTGGGAGCAAAGTCCACTGCTGCGATTTGGCTGAAGTTCGCGTACTCAGTGATTTATTCAGAATTGTACTGAATTTGCAACAGAAACACATTACAAATCAAAAAGTTTGCCAGCTAAAATTGTGCAATAGAACTAAATACAATAAGAGATGTATTGTTATTTGGCAACATGAAGTTTCAATATCAAATTTGTTCAGGTTTATTCAATGTCCGAGAATCCTGAATCAGAGATGATCAGGCCTATCATTTTTAACGAACTTGTCTTTCGCTCATATTTGCAATACATCTAACTGTTCACTTCTCCAAATAGCAAGACAAGCCCATTAAAAAAAAGTTAATAAAATAACCCTACACATTGGACTAAAACACGCTAGATTAGAACAGTGCGTATCTCTGCTTACTTAATCCTTCCTTATTATATTTCAGAAATTGGGTTTATCATCATTATGGTTGGCCATTAGCCATTCTAGCCTACAGTGGCATAATTTCTCTAATTCAAGCAGAAAAATCGGAGGTTTTTTACTCTTTCTTCCGAGAATGTAATTGATGCTGACAAGGCTGCAATTATTGCCTATCCCTAGCACCTCTAAGGTGGTACTGGATCATTGTATGAACTGTTTTCTCCTTGCGCGGTACCACAGGCACCAAAAATTGATAAATTTATAATCTACAAGAGATATGTTATTTCCAAGTAGACTAAAGGGACAGGTTAAGTAGCAAATCAAATGCAGGTAACATATCTATAACAAAGATCAGCTGTACATCATTCTAATGCCTAAAGAAGTTCCATTAAATATTTAAGTTTTGCTACTTTGACAAGCTTTCTTTTTGAAGGCACAACATAGAACTGATGTTACAACTCAAACTAATGGTTAATGTATGTTCGCAAATAATAAAAAAAGGTCTTGACCAAAGACTGGGTTAGAAACTCAGTGAACAGGCCCTGACAGGGGGCACACATTGATTACAGGAAACTGCTAGACTGGGATTCTTTGCAACAACAGTGATATGCATGGACAGCAAAATCTCAAATTAACTAAACTTTAAAATTAAGAGGCCTTAATGACCAATAATGAAAAGTGCTAGTTAAAGCACTGCAGATACAGCATTTAGAAAACTTCTAATTGCATAGGTATCTTTTATATTAGATTGCCTGTACACTCTCAGTAATCAAATTTTATTAAAAGAACGTATGCACCAAACCAATCCCAACATATCCCGAATACCAGAGGTTGAGGGGGTAATCAAGACTACGGTTAAATGAGATCAGAATTTAGAAACAGCACAATAATCCTTCCTGGGAAATGAAAAGAAATCTCATTAATTGCTTCGCAATACAGACTGTACACAGTAAAAGTTCCACCTTTGTGGATGAGGTTGTAGACATGCTCGCCAAGCCAGTGTGTGTTTGGTTGCAAACATTTCGCCACCCTGCTAGGTAACATCGTCAGTGCGCCTTTGGTGAAGTATCAGTGTTCTGTCCCACTTTTTATTTATATGCCTCAGTTTGTTGGGGTGTTCGGTGCTACTTCCAGTTCTGTTTCTCAGTGGTTTATACATAGGGTCTAATTCAATGTGTTTGATGATGGAGTTCCGATTAGAATACCAGGCCTCCAGGAATTCCCTTGCGTGTCTCTGTTTGGCTTGTGTGATTGTGGGGGTGTTGTCCCAATCAACTTGGTGCCCCTCATTGTCAGCGTGTAGTGAGACAAGTGAGAACTGGTTGTGTCTCTTGGTGGATAGTTGTTGTTTATGTATCCGTATTGTAACCCAGAACTACGCAAAGCAGAACAGGAGCCGCTATATGGAGTCTTCAAAAGAAATGAATACCCGAAAAGCACAGCCAGCCATTATCTCCCAGGCAGACAGCAACTGGAAGACACAACATGAACAGACTCAATAATCACTCTACTGTACATCAAGGACATTTCCGAGATGATCACAAAACTTCAGACCCTAGGTATCAGGGTAGCCCACAAACCAACAACCACCCTAAAATGGCTACTGATGAATGTAAAAGGATCCCATACCAAAAACCAGCAAAACTAGGGTAATATACAAAATACCAGGCAAGGACTGTAAGAAACACTACACTGGCCAAACCGGAAGAAAACTGACAATACGGATTCACGGACACCAACTGGCTGTAAGAGACACGACCAGTTCTCACTTGTCTCACTACACACAGACGAGGGACAGCAATTTGACTGGGACAACACATCCATAAATTGCACAAACTAAACGGAGGCATACCAGGGAATTCCTGGAGGCTTGGTATTCTAACCGGAACTCTATCAACAAACACATTAGTGAATTAGACCCTGTGTACAAACCAAAAAACAGAACCAGAAGTGGTACCAAACACCCCACCAAATGGAACCATACAAATAACAAATGGGACAGAACACTGATGCTTCAGCGAAGGTGCACTGACGATGTTACCTAGCAGAGTGACGACACGTTTGCAACCAAACCTATGGCGAGCATGTACCTCCAAATTCTTTCTTTTTCACTTCATTATATTGTGTTTGCACCACTTACCATTTTATTCCAAAATTTATTCTCAATCTATTCTGCCAACATCCTCATATTCTGCTGAAGAGGATCTTCAGTTTCCCATGGTAGAGCAGATTATGAAATACTAGTTCATGGCTACAACCTTTTTATCGAAGCATTTAAAAAAAAAACAAATACTTGTATTTGAACACATTTAGTTGAACAAAGTTCAAGGTCTCATTTTAGAGTACACACATCGACACCATTATGCCACGTGCAAGGGGTCTTTGGCAATGGTTGCCACCAATGCAGTTAAAAGATTTTTAAGACACCAAGGTCAGCATCTGTTGCTTATCACAACAGCTCTTGAAGGGAGTGGCTTACACTTAGAATGCAGTTGAGACTGAACCAGATTACTGCAAATCTGGAGTCATGCATAGGCTACACCAGGTAAGGATGGTAAAATTTGTACTTCTCTTGTGAATCTTGAGTTTTTAAAAATAGTCATAATTGACACAGAACATTAAGTCTGTTTCTCTCTAATAGATTTGGCCAGACCAGCTACATTTCTAAAGCACCTGTTTTTATTTCAAAACTAGGGGTCATGGTTTCATAATTAGAGGTTGCCCATTCAAGGCAGAGCTGAAGAGATTTTTTTCTCTCAAAAGGTTGAGCAACTTTGGACAGGGTCAATGGATATTTTTAAAGGCAGAAGCACTTGTCTATCAATAATCTTTGGTTATCAGTTAGATTGGAAAATGAAATTAGAAGCACAAACAGACTGGCCATGGAGATATTTCATGCGGGATTAAGTTAGAGGGGCCAAATGATCCACTTAGCTCCTAATTTGTACACACTAGTGAATCACGTGTGTTTTTAACAACAAATCGACAATAGTTCCATGGAACAGACAAAGAATACTGGAGAAACTCAACAGGTCCGTTTCTCGCTCCACATATGCTGCCGGAGTTAACTTAATGGTTTAATGGTCACTCTTGGTGACACTAACTTTTAGTGTCAGATTTTTGTTAATTTAATTCCAATTCCACAAGTTGCTGTGGTGGGATTTTAACCCATTTCACTAAGGTATTCGATTGACTTCTATAGTGCCAGTACACCACCACATCCCCGCATGACCCCAGTCCTGAAAGCGACGACAAAATGATCACCAGCCAATTAAAAGTGAACTACCAGCCAAACAGAATGCAAGCCAGGCATTGCATTACAGTTTAAAATTTAGTGTGAAGTTAGTATTACTTAAAACAGCCACCACCATTTTTGTCTGTTCAAAAGGTATGTTGTCTTTCTTTCACTGTTTCTGTCAAATTCCTGAAACTTCTTTCCATACAGCACAGCAAGCGCTTAAGGTGGCCCACTATCTTCTCAAGGGCAATTAAGGACTGAATGCATATTGGCCTAGCCAGCCATTCAACCTGTGAACAAACACCTTCAAATAAACTGAATTTGCGATGGTTTTGAGCATATTTAACCCCAGGAGGGTAACCTTTCATTGAACTAGCATGCTGTGCTCTCCCTACATTTAAGTATCAACTATGCGATAAAATGTAGAGATTGTCAGGGTACTCTGCACAGAAATTCTAGTGGTTGAAAAACTGTAATAAAGTCAACTTGAATTCCAAATATGATGACGATAACATCTACCGAAAATGTTTTATTCTTTACATATCAATTGTACAGTATTCCTAAAACAGTCAAAAATTGGGCCACAAATCAGACAACCGTTGCAAGGTGAAACAGATGCAAGTTAGTAACAGCACCCTAATTATTCCAAACTGCTATTTTATGAGGCAGAGTCTAAAATGGACTGCTAGAAAACAAGTTATAAAGAGGCCAATGCAATTGTTAGACTGATCTGTATAAGTCCTTATCTCACCAACTTTCAGTAACAGCACATGAAAGCCCATCATCTTGCATCTGGCCAGCCTCAAGGCTTTAGCACAATATTAAGATTGCTTTTCCAACGAGCTCTCAATATATATTAATGACTTGGATGAGGAAAGTGGACAACACAATTGTAAATAGGAAGGCAAGTCGTGATGATGACACAACACAGTCTGCAGAAGAATTTGACAGGTTAAAAAAAAACTTGGTAGATGGAAATATAATGTGACTCAGTGCACTATCGCTTGAAGAATAGAAAAACTGGATATTATTTAAATGGAAAATGGCTGCAGAAAGCTAAAGCACAGAGGAATTTTTGTGTCCTTGTGCATAAATCATGAACAGCTAGTACACAAGTTCAAACAAACAAAAGAAACAAAGGCCAATTTAGACAAAGCAATGATATGGAAACAATGGAGCACTCACTTAGTTCTTCTATACCTCGTCAGGATGGGAGCGCAGATTCTATTATCCATCCAGAGAATGGGACTTGAAAGATGTTCTAGAAATTTCTTTTCTAAGATTCTTTGTAGACAATGTGAGAACTGCCTCAAGTCATTAAATAATCCATTATAATCTTTATTCAAAAACATTGCAACTATCTATAACAAAATGCTAAGTAGAATTTGCACGACATTTTTGAATGGTGGACACAATTTCATTGATAGCAGCTATCAACCAATTTAAGCATAAGATTGAGATCATGCTGACAAAAAGGTGTTCAGAAAGCATTGCACAATTTAGAGACCAAAAAAAAGCGCAACTTAATGCAGATGCTGTTTTTTTTTAAAAGAAACAGCATTCATGGGATGTGGTTGCTGCTTCCTGGCCAGCATTTACTGCCTGTCAGTAGTTGCCCTTGAGAAGGTGGTGGTGAGCTGCCTTCTCAAACCACTGCAATCCATGTGCTGTAGATAGACTCCCCAGTGCCCTTAGGAAGAGAATTCCAGGATTTTGACCAAACAGTGAAGGAAGGATGATATTATTTCCAAGTCAGGATGATGAGAGGCTCAGAGGGGAAGTTCTGGCTGGTTTTCTACGTTTTACCTTAATAAAAACTGGAGGTCAACCAAAACTTTGCTTTCACATTTTACTTCACACCAAGTGCCAGTCACCCATTACCCTGTCCTCAATATCTTAAACTAGCTGCCACTGCAGCAATATATTAGATTTCAAGATTCTCATCTCTGTTTCAAATGTCAGCTAAATGTCAGTGTTGTAATTGTGCTGGAAGGAGCTTGGCTAGGGGAGCAGCCAGTCCTGCAATCGCCAGATAGTGCAAAGGCTGTGGGTCCTGACAACAATCAACGTCTCCAACCGTTTCTTGATATCATGTGGAGTGAATCGAATTGGCTTAAGACTGGTATCTATGATGCTGAAGACCACGGGAGGAAGCAGAGATATATTGGCATTTCAGGCTGAAGATGACTGCAAATTCTTCAGCCTTGTCTTTTGCACTGATGTAACGGGCCCTTCCATCATTGAGGATGGGGATAAACGTGGAGCCTCCGCCTCCAGTGAACTGTTTAAAATCACCACTAACATTCACAACTGGATGTGGCAGGACTGCAGAGCTTAGATCTGATCCATTGGTTGTGGGATCACTTAGATGCGTCTCTCACTTGCTACTTATGCTGTTTGTGCAAGTAATCCTCTTTGGTAGCTTTACTGGGTTGATACCTCATTTTTAGAGAAGCCTGGTGCGGCTCCTGGCTGAGCTCTCTTACTCTCTATTGAACCTGCGCGGATCCCCTGGTTTGATAGTAATGGTTGAGTGGGGGAATATGCCGAACCATGAATTTGCAGATTGTGCTGGAGTACAATTCTTTTTGCTGCTGATGGATCAGCCACGAGTTGCTAGATCTGTTCAAAGTCTGTCCCATTTAGCACAGCGATAATGCCACAGAATACGATCAAGGGTATTCTCAATGTGAAGGCAGGATTTTGTCTCCAGAAGGACTGTGTTGTGCGCAGTCTTACTAATACAGATCTTGTATCTGCAGCCAGCAGGTTAGTAATGAGGTAAAGTGTGTTTTTGCCCTCGTTGGTTCCCTTACCACCTGCTGCAGACAGTCTTTTAGGACCCAACCAGCTCAGTCATGCTACTGCCAAGCCACTCAAATCTGAAATGAGTTCCTATTCTGAAGAGGTCATACGGAACTAGAAATAGCAACTCTTTCTTTCCACAGATGCTGTCAGATATGCTGAGTTTCTCCAGCATTTCATGCTTTTGCTACTGGAAGACTTGTCCATCTACTCAGAAAAGAAACTGCCAAATATGGTTTGCAAGAGTACTTGCTTGTATTGCTAGAAAATAAGTTTGAGTCATTTAGTACAGGGTTTTACAATTTAGGAAGACAAAAAGTTCACCTTGGCTTGCAATCGTCTACGCAAGTGGGGAATATTCCATCACACACAACTTGTGCCTTGTACGGGGTGGACAGACATTGGCAGAGAGGTGGTGTTTTACTCATTGGAAGATTCTTAGCCTCTGACCTGCTCTTGTAGCCAGACTATTTACATGGCTAGTCCACCTGAATTTCTACTTAAATCAGAATTTTGGTGACAGGTACTCAGCATCTGTAATTCCATTGAATCTCAAGGGGCAACAGTTAGGTTCTCGCTTGTTGGAGATGGTCATGGACTGGCACTTGGGCAGCACAAATGTTACTTGCCACTTGTCAGCCCAAGTCTGGATATCATCTAAATTTTGCTGCATATGGGCTGCTTCAGCATCTGAAGTGTTGCACAATTTTCAGCACCATTTGCAATCATCAGCGAAGCTCACCACTGCTGACCTTGTGATCAAGGGAAGGTAATGAAGCAGCTGAAGATAGCTGGACCCAGGACTCTATCTCATGGAACTCAGGTGATTTCCTGGAACTCAGATGACTGACCTCCAACAAGCACAACCATCTCCCTGCCTGAAAGGTATGGCTTCAACTAGCAGGGAGTTCTATTCTCAACATCCATTCAGGAATTGCTTCATTCCATACTGTCAAACACCGCCTTAAAGGCAAAGGGCAGTCACTGTCACCTCATCACTGCAGTTCAGTTCTTTTGTCCGTTTGCACCAAGACTGCAACAAGGTCAGGAGCGAAATAGTCCCAGTGGAACAAAAACTGAGCATCAATAAGTGTGTTATGCCTTTGTCAGTGCCACCT